AACTTCAAAAAGTATAATAAACACTTTTTCTTTTGCTAACATAAAGTAATATCAACTAAAATAAGATGTGCTGTGCATTTAAACAGAAACACAGAAGTGAATGTTTCATTAATTTAAATTAAGCAAGGTGAAATAGAACACACAGGAACACAGGCCTTAAATTAAATATCGTTTTCTTGAATTATTCTAAATAATAAGAGCTTGTGAAGATGTTTAAACAAATGAGAGCAAAAGAGTATTTTCCTCAAGACAACCTTGGAACAAAAAATCATAATTTACTTTGAATAGTACTGGAAAGTCTCAACTGTCCTATGACTTTTGTCCCATACTTCCTCAAAATCAACCTGTTCACTTTTCTTGGAGAGAAACAAATGAGAAGGAAGGGATGATGAGCATGTGATGACCACGACAAGCCACAACTAAGCCAGGCAACATCTAAAATTTCAAGAAGGTTTCACAAACATGTAGAATATATTTTCAATCAGTGAAACAAATTGATCTTTCACAAAAGTTGTTCAAAAAAAGTCAAAATCTGATAAGAGATAATTTATTCTGCAGCGTATAAGCACACTGGTCCAGAATCTTTCATTCATATGAATATAGTTTCAATTTAATTGAACATTCTCAAGGATGTAACATACTTTTCAATAACAACATTTTTGTATATGAAAATTAAGGAGTAACAAATAAGAGAGAGAAATGCAACATATTTCTATTGTGTCTGCATACAAATGTCAGAAGGTTACTGGCAAAAATAGATGCTGAAATGGATCGAACAGAAAGGACAGCAATATATGTGTATAACCAGGAATAAAGTAGCTGTGCTCAGATGTAATAAAATGTGAAGGGGCAACATTTTAAAGTATTTCTAACAAAAAATGTAAAATCAATACAATTTTATTACCAGTGAGAAAAAATCTTAACATACCTTTGGACATGTCTAACAAGCTTGACAATTTTTGTACAATGCACCATTGCATGCTACTAAAATAGAGTCCTGAAGAGAAATTTTATAAAAATTAAATGTAGAAAAATACTGGAGAGACAACAGTATTCCTCAGCAGAGAAGGCAACCCTAAATAGGGGCACGGGATTGAAAGTGACAAAAGTGTTAGCAACAGCAAAAGACAGGACAGTCATTATTACTGCTATATCCAATAAAGCGCAAGGAAATGTTAACATAAAACAAGTTTCATATGAAAAATTATTACATCACATACAAACAGTAAATGATTCTGCGGATATGAATGCTACTTCATGCGAGATGAAAATATGGTCAACAATCATGACCCTTATATGAGGGAAGTTAAGTTCTTTCCAACTGATTTATGGTCTAACAAGACATGTTCCACTGACAAAAATATTTTGCTTTGCTTGTGAAACCTTCTAAGTGAGCTAGTGACAATTCCCGGCTACCTGTAGTCCTCGACATTGTTGGTGGCCATGATGGGATGATTCACAGAGTAGAAAACGACAGCATCCACATTCACCGTGACCGAATCACGGGACAAAACCTGTGAGTGGTAAGTTATAACATAAATACATTTCCTCTTGTGGCCTCAAGCCTGGATTCAAGGTGAAAACCTGAAGTAACCAGCACAATTTCTGAATAATGCAGAAGATTATGGGATTTACCAGAGGAAATCCTTCCATCACGGTTGCAACGAAGTACCAAAAAGACTTACAGAGCATTCCATGACTTAGCATTTATAAGCCAAAATTCACAGGCATTTCTGAATGCAAATCTGACAAAGTTAGGGTGACCATACATTCTTCATCCTGGCATCCTTTGCCTAGCTGCATCAATAAATCCAATCGATCAGCTACTTTACAGCAGAGCACACTGTGTTCTTTAAACATAACACACAAAATGAGAGATTCTGACCATATTTTCAGTGCTGTGTTATATGCCAAGTGGTATTTGTGAGTACTATCGCGTAAAAGACTTCACTCTAAGCAGAAAACTCAACTTTATTACATGCCATTAACACTCAGCAACTTCAATATTTTCCACATGTCCTATCTTTCATTCCTGATTCCTCTTTAACTTACTTAGAGTAAGTATTTGTTTGTCAAGATGCCAACGATGTTAGCTTGCTAAACAGACATCACCTACTGACGCATATCATGAAATAAATGGAATATATGCTTTAAAATTCAGTATGGCTCAAAAAACAAGTTTCATGGTGTTCCTACTGACTGGTAAAAGAGCCAAAGTAGGAATAAAATGTATCAGGCCAGTGGAATCAATCTCATTAAAAATTGACAAGTGAGAATCTCTAATATATATATATATATAAAGGACCACCTTGTCAAGAGGTGTGTTTCAATTACTCAATATGTCAGTATGACATTCTCCAACTATTCCACAAAATAATCAGGATTTTGATTTCACTGACAATCTTCATACACTCGAGGAACACAGCAGCTTGCTAAAATTTAAGCCAAGCAGTGAAATACACCAAGGAACCATTTACAATATAGTTCAAACTGAAGGACTGTCTTAAATGTTCCATTCAAAGTACCACGCAAATAGAAAATTTAGTTGTCCAAAATTAGGTTAGAAATATATGTTCAATTATAATAAAAAGTTAGTGAATCACTACAGCACAAGTTAATGCATATAAGGTAATTTATCACAGATAAATAACCAACACAAATAAGTCCATGCTGTTAATGTGCTAGTGTCATTTAACATGTGGTTATAGTTTCCAAAACACTAAGGATTAGTACATACATTGAAAGAAAAAGCTGACAAGAGCACCAGAAACTGGTGTAAGAAGACACTCAAGAAAATCTCTGAACAGGAGAAGATATTCAGTTCTCTAATATCCCTAAAAGGCCAATCACTGAATGTTGTGGTCAAG